CAATTTTGACGTTATCAATGACGTTTTAGGTAGACAAGAGAAGATAAGGATTGTCACCAAGTCAAGAGTTGGCCACCCACTCATCAATTAGTCATCAAATCAATAGTTCCTAATTTTGGCCTATAAAAGGAGGCATTTGCCATGCATTTAGGCATGTTGGTGTCCAGATCAAAATCATGTTCTTGCTTTCTCTCTTTGTATTTTTTGTAATGTTTATGCTTTGCTTTCATTAATATCAAGTTTATGCCTTTCAATTCCTTTCATTTGCTTTGTTAACTTTTATCTTATTTATGTTCTTATTTTGTTTATCTATTTTTCTTTCTTTCATTATGTCTAGCTAAGTTAATTATGTCAAGGTGAAAAGGTTACACTAATGGTGTAAGAATAAGTATAGTGTAAACTCAATATGGACTTTAATGTTTGATACTAACATGTTTTGTATTTGTTATCTTGTTCACTCTTTAATACTTTGCTTGTTAAATAACTAATCTTGATTTATGTTGTATAACACTTGGTACAACAAATGCTTGGCACTTTCATAGTTCATACTGTATGGTATAACCGACACCTGAGCAATGAAAGGAACTTGATTTGTTGTTAACATAAGTTATAATCATGAATGCTTGACGAGATTCACAAGTATTAACATTAATTGAATAAGATGACTAATGTAATCATGTTAACAATCTATAATCTGATTGGAACCTCCTTTATGTGTGGCTTCCAATTGAATAACAAGAGTTTATATTATACTTGTTTGACATACCATTAGTGGAATCTCTAACCTTGACATTTGTTATTATCATTGTTTAATCGTTACATTAATATTTCTTCTCAAAGTTCTCATCTTCTTCTCCTTCTTTTTCTTTATTATTATTATTATTATTATTATTATTATTATTATTATTATTCCTATTATTATTATTATTATTATTATTATTATTGTTGTTGTTGTTGTTGTTGTTGTTGTTGTTGTTATTGTAATTGTTATTATTATTATTATTATTATTATTGTTATTATTATTATTGTTGTTATTGTAATTGTTATTGTTGTTGTATTATTGTTATTTATAATTTGTACAATTAACCTCCCTGTGGTTCGATCCCGGTCTTGCCGGGTTATTTATTACTTCGACACTCCTGCACTTGGGAGAAGACATCAATCTTTTAGTCGTGTCACTTACTTAGATAGATTAATGGAGGCTAAATGATTAATGTCTTGCTTTGTGAAACTTGCAAATTGTTTTTCTATTTTAACGTTTTGATTACTAGGGACTACTAATAAGCTGGTTGGGAGGGTGTGATTAGTACTTAAAAGTATATTTTTATTAAGTTTTTATAACAACATTTTAGACTTGAAGTATCAATAACTTGTTAACTAAAACATGTTTTATAACTGTAAGATACCTTTAATTCATAGTAAATATTCATCTTAAATATAGGCCTATCATATAAATTAAAGGATTGATTGATGAGTTAAACTATTAAAATTAAGAAGACGAAGAGAGGGTGAAGTTTAGAAAAAAGATGTTGGTTTAGTCCAAATTGAAACAATGTTTGGTCCTTGGGTCATATCTAGAGCTGTAGAACTTAGATTTAAGTCTATTGTATATAGATGGAAAGCTAAGATATAGGCCTAAAATATTCATGAGAAGATAAGACTCAATTCTACTGTTTGGAAGTTCAAATCTTAACAATAATAGAGAAGTCTGAATCTGTCTTGTAGCCTAGATATTGTTCAGTATTCAACTCGTATCTCGAGTTTTAGAAGTCCAAATGACCTCAATTTTTTTTTATTGGAAAGCTGAGATAATTTTCTAGAACTTTCATGATTTAAGTGTGTCCATATTTTGATGTTAGCAATGACATTTTGTTCAAACAATAAGATAATGATTGTCACCAAGTCAAAATGTGGTCACCTACTCAATAATTAGTCAACAAATCAATAGTTTCAAATTTTAGCCTATAAAAAAAGACATTTGTCATGCATTCAGGCATCTTGGTTTTTAGATCAAGATCATGTTCTTGCTCTTTCTTTTTATATTTTTGTAATGTTTAAGTTTTTCTTTCATTAATTTCTTATTTATACTTTCATTTCATTTCCTTTACTTAGTTAACTTATATCTTATTTATGTTCTTATCTTGTTTATTTATGTTTCTCTTTTTTTATTATGTTTAGTTAGGTTTATTTTGTCAAGGTGAAAAAGTTACACTAATTGTGTAAAAATAAGTATAGTGTAAACTCAACATGGACTTTAATGTTTGATATAAATATGTTTTATATTTGTTATCTTATTCACTTTTAATACTTTGCTTAAATGGTTAATCTAGATTTGTGTTGTGTAACACTTGGTACAACAAATACTTGACACTTTCATAGCACAACCATATGGTATAACCGACACACATGCTATGAAAAGAACTTGAATTATTGTTAATATAAATTATAATCATGAATAACTAACAACGTTTATAAGTATTAGCTTTATTTGAATATAATAACTAATGTAATCATATTAACCATTTATAATCCGATTGGAATCTCCTTTGTATGTGGTTTCTAGTTGAGTAATAAAAGGAGTTTATACTATACTTGTTAGAAATACCATTAGTGGAGCTTCTAACCTTGACATTTATTTTTATTATTATTTAATTCTCATATTAATCTTACAATCTCAAAGTTCTCTTTAACTTATTGTTGTTGTTGCTGCTATTATTATTATTATTGCTGTTATTTATAATTTATATAGTTAATCTCTCTGTGGTTCGACCCTAGTTTTATCGTGTTATTTATTACTTCGATACTTCTACATTTGGGAGAATACATCAATCGTTTGGTCGTGTTAATAATATTAAAAAAATTAAATTAAATTATCTTTGAATAAATTTCTTAAGATGATATTCAAATAATTATCCAATTATACCATAGTTTTCAAGAGTATTAGGACTTTTATGGTAATATCAACAATTATTTTATGATTAATATAAATTAAATGTTTTTCAAAAATTTCACACTAGGATTCAATAATAATAGAGTATCTATTCTGTTATTTTTTTATATAATTTTCTTACATTTATTATTCCCATATTTATTTATATAAGTGTGTTAAAAATAATCAATTTATTATTTTATTGAGATATTTTCACTATCATAAATTAACCAAAGATTTGGTTATATTTTAATCCAACCAAACTTAATCATATCATAAAATATATATCACATGTTACGCCAATCACTTTATCCAACATGTTGTGCTCAATAATAATTATATTTGTTCCAAAATTTTTGTAAAAATCATTTGTTTTATGGTAAAATGTTTTCTTCCCAACCCGTAACAGCTGACTTAAAAAACACTTTAATGATATTGACTTGTTTTCCTCAACAGGGCTCTCTGTTTTTTTTTTTAGGTGAAAATAACAAGATTAAAAAGACTATAAAAAAGAAAAGAAAATCAAAGTGGAATTCTATAGTTAATTTATTTAATTTTGCCTTTTACTAAATCAAGAAACTAAGGGAGAGCGTGCAGCTAGGCTCTCTAAAATGAGAATGGAGTTAACGTTCTTTTTCACTGGAATGGGAAGGGACTGAAGGGGATGATGGCATGCTCATGTCTTATCAGCAATATCAATGAAATATTTATAACTCATGGATTTAATTTAAAATTAATTATAAAAGACATTTTTTTTTCAGGCTATGTACCGCGGGCCTGACCTTTTACGGGGGTAGTACTACCAGCCACCAGGCTAGTCTAGGTTCCTAATCTGCCAGAATTTAGAGGACATAAAGGGGACCTACTAACTAGGGTTGAGATTCGCTCATGGACCTTTCACAAGGGAAGGGAACGATAAGAAATGCCCCCTCCCTGTAGGATTTTTTTTAAAAATTAATAGGTAAATTAAAAGATTTGGTTGGTAGAATAATATTATTTTAAGATTATATTAGAAAAATACTATATTTTTATCTTATTATGTTTTTTAATTTTTATTAAATGTTGTTATTTTTAAAAATGGTAGAATAATTATTACTAGTAGTACTATTTGAATATATTTATATTATGTTTTATCATTAAAAATATATTTTTGTTCTACTTTTATTCTACTTTAATTAAAATTTTTAAAAAATTATTGTTTATATATTAAAAATATATATAAGCAATCAAGAGTGAATTTATTGTAACTAGATAAATATATACCACATACAAATACAAATTATATAAATGATCAAACAAATATATTTATGGACCAATAAAACATGCTTAGTTTAAAAGAAGATTTGATTGTGATAGATCATTAATAATAGCTTAAAAAAACTATAATTTTTTATTTGATTGTTATGTTTCATTTAAAATTTTACAGGAGTTTTTGAAAATCATTTTTTAGAGTAGCAATCTCTACCTTGACTTTTGTATTTTTAGATTTTAAAAATCTCATAAAGGTCTCATTTTGACAATTTTAATAATTTTATGATTTTTTTATGATCTATTCTATCAATTAATTTTAAATTTAAATAGATATCACAATTATAAATAACTATATCAATTAAAATTTTAACCGTTATATTTATATTTAATTAAATGTTGCGGTTGTCGCTCGAGCTTTTACAAGTGTTTTTATTCCAAAACATATTAAAATAATATTTTTTATTTTTTAAAAATTATTTTTAATATCAGCACATTAAAATCATTTAAAAATATAAAAAAATATATTAATTGAAAAAAATTAAAATGTTTTAAAAACATTTTCAAAATACAATAACAAACACATAATCTTTGACTTCGACCTCTCTAGTATTTATGCGTGCATATCACCAGGCCTCAAACCAGCCCTCGAGGCCTGATAATCCAAATTTAAACCTAACCAATACGCATTTATTTTAACAGTAAAGCAGTAATTCATAGAGTGTAAGGCAACTCTAAATGTCAACTAGTAAATGCAGACCTAACTGCTCAATAAACCAATATCCACTTTCAGTAATTGATCAACTGATGAAAGAACTGGAATTAGTGGCGCATAAAATGCAGAGTGTAGTTTGTCATTCCATACATGCAAGGTAATAAAGACACATCAGCTATCAGAAAATAGAAAAAGAAGAATCATAACCATATTTGTGTGTAAAGGTGGTATTTAGCATTTTTATGATACATTCTGTCTCCAGTATTTCTCATCTCCTCAGTTGTTTATGGTTAAATTTCATATAAAGTGTCCTGCAGGTTGTGCTTGTGTTTCCATGGAAGGAACGGGAAAACATGGAGGTGACCAGCTTTCAATTAAGAAGTCAGAGCCCGTTCTAATAGAACCTGAAACAAGGACTCATAGTGGGTTTTTTTCTTATCCAATCTTGATCAAGTGGCCCATTTCGTGGAAACAGTGTACTTGTACAAGGCAGAGAAAGGGGGAGGCAGTCATGACACCTTCAGTGATATATTTAAACAATCTATGGCCAAGATTCTGGTGCATTATTACCCTCTCGCAGGGAGATTAAGATTAGGATCTGATGGGAAGCATATTGTCGAGTGTACCAATGAAGGGGTGTTGTTTGTGGAAGCAAGAGCAAATTGTAACATGGATCATGTTGACGTTAAAGTTATTCCTGATGAGCATTCTGAAACAGCAGGGAAGCTTGTCTATAGATCTCCAGATTCTGAGAACGTACTGGAAATGCCTCTAATGACTGCACAGGTGCATTTTTTTGTTCTTTTTTTTTTATTCCATGTTTTGTCTGTCTGAATTAATTTACTACTTAAGTACTTACCAAGTTTTCCTTTACAGTTTACAAGGTTCAAGTGTGGAGGTTTTGCTTTGGGATTGTCAATTAGCCACCGCATGACTGATGGGATGTCAGCAATGGGGTTTATCAAATCATGGGCTGAAACAGCCAGAGGGATGCCGTTAACCACCAAACCAGTTCTTGATAGATCAATTTTGAGGTCTAGACAACCTCCTAAAATTGATTTTCCTTTCGGCCAGTACGCTCCTGCAGAAACCAGTAGCGTATCAAACATATCAAATCCATTTCAAGGAGAGCAGATTCTGACGAAATGCTTCCTGTTTGATTCCAACAAGCTTGCAATACTGAAGAACATGGCAATGGAGGACGGAACCATCAAAAGCTGCTCAAACTTCACAGCGCTCACAGCTTTTGTGTGGCGTGCTCGCTGCAAGGCACTGCAGATGAATCCTGATCAAACAACTCAACTTCTGTTAATAGTCGACGTTCGATCCAAGCTTAATCCACCACTTCCCAAAGGATACTTTGGCAACGGAATTGTCACAAGCAGTTGCCTAGGCAGGGCAGGAGAATTGATCAAAAACCCACTGTCTTTTGCTGTGGAAGAAGTGCAGAATGGAATAAAAATGGTTAATGAGGAGTATGCCAGGTCATGGATTGATTACATTGAAGTGAAGAGAGCAAAGGACTTTCGTTTACCCTCCCATTTTATAGTTTCTTCATGGACTAGACTTTCAATTGAGTGTGCAGACTTTGGATGGGGAGAGCCAGCACAGTTTGGCTGCGCAAATTTGCCTAAAGATTCAGGTTTTTTCCTACCAGATGGAAAAGAAAAAAAGGGCATTAATTTGATTTTGGATTTGCCAGTTACTGCCATGAGCACCTTCCAGGAGCTAATGCTTCTGTAATGTAATCTGATGGAAAATTAATTATAGATTGATTATCCATCATCGGTACTCGATATAATTTCCTCATCCTTTCCTGTTATCGGAAATAAATATTACTTATTGCTATGCTAATAATGGAATCAATCTCCAGATAAAAGTTTTCAATTAAGGGAAGGTGAAAGCGCAATAAATTCATCAGCCAAGTTTTCATGAGTTGACTCGTTCTATTGAATTAGACGGAGGGGAAATTGACATGTGGAAACAAGCCAGAGGGAAAAATAAATAAATACAATAAACATATTGAATTAGATTTTTTATTTTATTTTAATAAATTCATTCAACGAAAAATACATTAAACAATTTGCAATCATTTTTTTGTGTTGAAGTTCTCCATCAACTACCTCTTACTTTGGACTCTGTAAATGTAATTTATGTGGTTGTTTAACCAAAATGATTGTTTGTGTGTTTTTCGGGTGTTGTTTAGAAGGGATAAAGATATTAAGTATCTTTTATTTATTTATTTATTTTTATAATTAATATTTTAATTTAATTTTTATTAATTAAATTGTTAATTTATTACTTCAACAACCACACAAACACTCATAATGAATGTGTATGTTGTAACTTTTTTAAATGGCATTTGAATTTTTATAATTCCCATGTATTTTATTATTGCTAGTTTATTCTCGGTGCTGTGCTACTAGTTAAATTAAAAAAATATTTAAGCTGCAATAATTTTTTGATGTTGTTATTGTTATTTATTTTTAAATTCCAAAAAAAAAAGAAAATATAAAAACAATATATCAAAAAATATTTGTAAGAAATCCAAAAAATAATAGGAATAAACTAGAAATTGGTTGAGGAGATTCAAAAATACAATAATTAAAATTTAACATTATATTTTTTACTTATGAGAGCTTTGTTGACAAGAAAAATTCAATTTAAGGAAGAAAAGTTCAAAATTAAATGTTTATGGACTCAATTAAATTTTATCTAAGGCTTAATTGAATTTATGGAGGGTTTTATTACAAGAAAATTTGATTTTTAAGTCAATTTAGGCTTTTATTTAAAAAAAATTAAAGTTCTAAGATCCAATTATAATTTTAGAAAATTGATTTGGTCAAATCAAGGGCTTAATTGCATAATTATTGAAGTTTGATGGCCAATTAGAGACTTGATTAAAACAATTCGAAACCAAGGATAAAACAGGGAAGACACTAAAATCAAGGAATTCAATTACAATTTATCTAGCAGCTTGATTACATAATTGAAAAAATATTTGATTAATACTTAAAATTATATTTTTATTCAAGTTTTATATTATTATATTTGCACTTAAAGTATCAATAACTCCTTAACTAAAGTATGTTTTATAATAACATATATAATAATATAAGATACCTTTAATTTGTAGTAAATGTTCATTTTAAATATAAGCCTATCACAGGAATAAAAGGATTAAGTAATGAGTTTAAGAACTGAAATTGAAAGGACAAAGAGATGACCAAACTTAGAAAAGAGATGCTGGTGCAGTTCAAACTGGAACATTATTCAATAATTAGGTTATATCTGGAGCTGTAGATTTCAGATTTAGGTCTATTTTATATGGATGGAAAGACAAGACAAATGCCTATAGTTTTCATGTATGGATGGAAAGGCAAGACAAATGCCTACAGCTTTCATGTGAAGATTTGGTTTTAAAAAGGTTATTTTCAAGTTCAAATTGTAGTAACAACGAAGAAGTCCGAATTTGTCCTGCCTAAACAATATCAAAGTCCGAATTTATCCTGCAGCCTGAATAATATACAAGGACCCAATAGAAATATCATTTAAAGTTGCAAAACAGTACTGTTTCAGAGGCACTATTCATTGTCTTCTTCACTAATTCAGCAAATAGGAATTATTTCAACAACAAATGCCACAGATTATAAGGAATGTTTTAAGTTACAATCTCTCTACCGTTGTCACTGCAATAATGGTCCCGAACGTCGTTATTATAAAAAACGTATGCAGTTTTGGATATAAAAGAAGAGAAAAAGAACGAACCAAGAGAAGAAAAATAAAAGGGACAAAACGAGAGAGACAAAGCAGAAAATAGAGAAAGTGTAAGGAAGCAAAGGATAGAGAGGAGGGAAGAACGAGAGAGGAAAGCAAAAAAATAAAGGGAGGAGGAGGGGAAAACACGAGAGGAAAAGAAAGACAGAGAGGGAGAGCGAATAATAGACAGGGGAGTTAAGAAACGAAAGAACAGAATAACACATAAAAGGAGGAGAACATCAAAGAGAAGGAGGAGAAAAGAAAATGAAAAAACCAAAAAAAAAAATACACAGGGTGATGGACAAGTAGCATAAAAAACCAGAAGGCAAGGTTGGCATCACCATCGGTTTTTTGTTCTTTTCCACAATTCAGTATGTTTATTCCTGTTCTCATATTTTGCAAATGAAGTATGTTACTGTGTGAAGGTAATTTAATTACCACTATTCCTGCACGCGTGAGTAAAGTCATGTGTGCTTTAGGTTGCCCAGCTAGGTCCTTGGCTTAGGCCAATGACCCGGTCAGGCTTACTTGGTCCAGCCCAGCCACATAGGTCGAGTCGGGTTTGGATGAGCCTAGTTAGCAAACAAAAAATCTTCAAAAATTATTTCAAAAAATATGTGATTTTTCATAAATTTTTTACTATATTTTGATCAATATTAGGTTGTATTTTATACTGTAAAGATACAAATCCGATATTAAAATACCTGGTTTTCATAAAAAAATAAAAAATAAAAAATAAAAAACTTTTGTTTTCATGCATACGACCAAGTAAAAAAAATAATCATATTGTATTTTCATACAACAAAGAAAATTTTAAAAAATATGTATTAGTATGCATTTTATTTTTAATAATCAGTTTATTAAAGTTATGAGAACTACGCCAAAATTTTAAAATTTTTAAAAAAATTATTTTGTTTTCTTTTAGGATTTGGGGTTGCAACCTTATATGTAAGATGTATTCCATATATTTTTTTT